CGGAAGCTGAACATCGTGCTCACTGAGCTGTCACCGTCTGAGGAGTACATAGCCATGGTGCTGTCGGGACTCAGGCCCGAAAAGGTGCTGGATATAAGTGACCAGGCACTGGCTTTCTGGACCTACCAGGTCTGTCTGTGTATTGCCTATGACAGTCACAGTATTTAATCAATCCAGTGTTCATCTCAGCCTGGTCTAGGACAGGGGTTCTCAAAGTGGGGTTTGCGGACCCCTAGCGGTCTGCGGAAGTACTGGTGCAGGGGTCCGCAACCAGATTATACACTGCTCAAAAAAATAAAGGGAACACTTAAACAACACAATGTAACTCCAAGTCAATCACACTTCTGTGAAATCAAACTGTCCACTTAGGAAGCAACACTGATTGACAATACATTTCACATGCTGTTGTGCAAATGGAATAGACAACAGGTGGAAATTATAGGCAATTAGCAAGACACCCCCCAATAAAGGACTGGTTTTGCAGGTGGTGACCACAGACCACTTCTCAGTTCCTATGCTTCCTGGCTAATGTTTTGGTCACTTTTGAATGCTGGCGGTGCTTTCACTCTAGTGGTAGCATGAGACGGAGTCTACAACCCACACAAGTGGCTCAGGTAGTGCAGCTCATCCAGGATGGCACATCAATGCGAGCTGTGGCAAGAAGGTTTGCTGTGTCTGTCAGCGTAGTGTCCAGAGCATGGAGGCGCTACCAGGAGACAGGCCAGTACATCAGGAGACATGGAGGAGGCCGTAGGAGGGCAACAACCCAGCAGCAGGACTGCTACCTCCGCCTTTGTGCAAGGAGGAGCACTGCCAGAGCCCTGCAAAATGACCTCCAGCAGGCCACAAATGTGCATGTTTCTGCTCAAGCGGTCAGAAACAGACTCCATGAGGGTGGTATGAGGGCCCGACGTCCACAGGTGGGGGTTGTGCTTACAGCCCAACACCGTGCAGGACGTTTGGCATTTGCCAGAGAACACCAAGATTGGCAAATTCGCCACTAGCGCCCTGTGCTCTTCACAGATGAAAGCAGGTTCACACTGAGCACATGTGACAGACGTGACAGAGTCTGGAGACGCCGTGGAGAACGTTCTGCTGCCTGCAACATCCTCCAGCATGACCGGTTTGGCGGTGGGTCAGTCATGGTGTGGGGTGGCATTTCTTTGGGGGGCCGCACAGCCCTCCATGTGCTCGCCAGAGGTAGCCTGACTGCCATTAGGTACCGAGATGAGATCCTCAGACGCCTTGGGAGACCATATGCTGGTGCAGTTGGCCCTGGGTTCCTCCTAATACAAGACAATGCTAGACCTCATGTGGCTGGAGTGTGTCAGCAGTTCCTGCAAGAGGAAGGCATTGATGCTATGGACTGGCCCGCCCGTTCCCCAGACCTGAATCCAATTGAGCACATCTGGGACATCATGTCTCGCTCCATCCACCAACGCCATGTTGCACCACAGACTGTCCATGAGTTGGCGGATGCTTTAGTCCAGGTCTGGGAGGAGATCCCTCAGGAGACCATCCGCCACCTCATCAGGAGCATGCCCAGGCATTGTAGGGAGGTCATACAGGCACGTGGAGGCCACACACACTACTGAGCCTCATTTTGACTTGTTTTAAGGACATTACATCAAAGTTGGATCAGCCTGTAGTGTGGTTTTCCACTTTAATTTAGAGGGTGACTCCAAATCCAGACCACCATGGGTTGTAAAATTTGATTTCCATTGATAATTTTTGTGTGATTTTGTTGTCAGCACATTCAACTATGTAAAGAAAAAAGTATTTAATAAGATAATTTCATTCATTCAGATCTAGGATGTGTTATTTTAGTGTTCCCTTTATTTTTTTGAGCAGTGTATAATTGCATATCACAGGCTTCCCTAAACTGAGAACATTGTGTAGAGATTGTTTTGGAGTCTGAAAGATTGTATGGTATATCTACAGCCTAGTCTGAGTACACAGACAGAGGAACATGCCTGTTTTTAGACAAATAGCCTATTTTCACACAAATATAATTGCATTCAAAACTGTAAATTGTCTAGATCAGGCTTCCCAAAGCTAAGAACATTGTGTAGAAATTGTTGTGGAGTCTGAAAGCTTGTATCATATAAAGTGAGTCCCAAAAGTACTGTTCTGCAGGGCAGGAGAGCATGATGTTGGAGTCTGAGAGAGGGAGGGAGGTGGAGGAAGGTGTGTGAGTGTGAGTGTCTGCCCTCCCGAGTGGTGAGGTGTGTGTCTGAGCTGATAGAGTACGCTGAGGACCCAGATGCACTGAAGACATGGGAAGTCATCACCACAATAGAAGGTGAGGCGCACACACACACACGATGGGCGGGATGCTGAGAGATGTTACATATAATTTGTCTAGGTGTACTGTACCTTATACTATTAACTTTGTCTGTGTGTGTCCGTACACATGCATGTGTGTCTGTGGGTCAAGTTGATTTGTCATATGCACAGGATACACATGGTTTACACTGTGCACAGTACAATGAAATGCTTACTTAAATGTGTCTGCGTCTGACTTGTGTGTTGCAGGAGTGTATTTTCCTGGAGTACAGTCTGTTGCAAGCCGAGGGTCAGCAGAACCAGAGAAGAGAGCTGGTGCTCAACACCATGAGAGGGGAGGTCTCCTCACTGAAGAAGGTAGCTACCTCAACCTCACCTCAAACCCAGGGGTCGGCAAGTCTACCATAGAGTGCAGGCTTTTGCCCAGCACTAACACACCTGATCGAACTGATCACAATGAGTGCTTAGGCTGACTGGAGCAAATGCTTGCCTTGAGCACCAGAATTGAAGGCTCACACCTGCCCATTGTTTTACGTCAGATAGTGCGACGGCTGTCTGCATGTCGCGTTAGAATGACACCACCTATCGGAAGACATTGCAAGCGTGTCTTAAACACAATCACTTTTATTTTGCCATATTATATACTGCACCTTGTTATCTCCCATTCTCCCTCCATCTCCCTGGATTCCCTCTCAGTTCCCTTGTCTTTTCCAGGTGATGGAGGAGTACAAGAGGAAGAACAGTGAGGTGTCAGAGCGTCTGATGGAGAGGAACGGGCCGTACCAGAAGTTGCAGGGGCTCCATGACTCGCTGAGAGAGAGAGAGAGAGAGGATCAAGGGGGAGATCTAGGGATATACTATAGGCCTGAATCGTAACTAGAAACCAGTATGTAAAAATACTCAGGCTTTCACATGAATTCAGGCACTGATGTCCTTACAAGAGTTGCATGAACTCATGCAAGCGGATCTCAAGTTAGGATTTGTCCATAGAAATTAGGGGAGGAAGTAATGAAGACGTAGTGGAGGATGTATAGAGAAGCGTGGGTACACAAAAATAGATTCAATTAACCACCTCCCACCTGTTTCCCAGGGGTGGTCAGAAAGCCCTCTCCCCAGGGGAGTCCTCCATTCCTGGGCATGGGCCCAGAGGGAGACATGCGGCTCTTCTCCAGGTCGCAGTTGTAAATGAGAACTTGTTCTCAACTGGCTTACCTGGTTAAAAAAAGGTGAAATAATTAAATAAAAAAGAATTCTCCCTGGAGCCAAGACCTTCAGCTCTCCTGCCAGAGACAGGGGCCGGGCCTTACTCAAGAATGACTGAGACTTTAATTAGCATTCTAGAATTCCAGGATTAGAATTAATAGAATACACTAATTATTATTCTAATACTGACACAGTGCTGGTTTGGTACCTGTCTGCATTTAAGCAATAAGGCACAAGAAGCAGTGCTGTATCATGAATACAGTCACAGGTAGATGGTGTAAGTGAATTCATACAATTTAATTATTCCAGCAGAAGATATCGTATGGACAAAAATCTGGTTGTTAGTTATGTTGGTCATGTTGCTACAGACGCGAATCAGTCGTTTAAACTTTATTAATTATTTTTGCAAAATTGCTATGCAAAAGGCCTGGTCATCCTTTCTAAACAAAATGGTTGCTATGCAGGCTGGATAACGTCTCGTCACTTGCCAGCTAGCCAACTTCAGCTAACTCAGTCACGTCAAACATTGAACCGGGAATGACAGTACACTAGCTGCATTTTCGTTTGTTTGAGCTTTTTTTCTATTGCCATTTACTTGGATATGATACAGTATGTCCATGATAATGACGTTGATGGGTGATTTCGACTGGCTCAGAAAAAGTTGCCTCGTCTGGGCACTGTTCACAATGTATGGTACTAGCCACAGAGGTCGAAATTCAAAAGTGAAACAATTGTTTCCGAGGTCGGATAGGCAGACATCGAGGTATATATTAACCGCCGCTGTACCAATCTAAATAATAGGCTGGAAGTAAGGGGAAATAGTGTGCGAGTTGATATAAATACAAGAGATGATTCGGAAAGCAACGTGAACATGAGATTCGGTTTTCATTTTCAGCTGGAAAATGTTAGCAGACATAGGTGTGTCTGTGACGGCCAATCAGCATCCAGCATCCCAAAAAACTGTTTGATATTGATATTTACATTTACGTCATTTAGCAGACGCTCTTATCCGGAGCGACTTACAAATTGGAGATATTGTAGTTTTGTGGTTGTATTTTTGTTACCTTAAGTTACTTTATCTTGATGAAATGCTCTTTGATGCACAACTTAATGTTTGCCCTTATTTTTCAATAAAATACAGCATGACAGTGTTGTGAGAAAGCTGCGTTATGATCGTTCTATTAAGATGTTAGTTTTCACAATGGAAGGTTTGACTACCATCATGGTGAAAGATTATCAACTACATAAGCTAATGATAAAGCAACAGTGTGAAATCATGTCCACATTGGAGACACAATATTTTGGGAATGTTTGTTTTAATGTCTTGAATCCATAAGTCATTTTAGTCAGTAATTTACAAAATCCCCCAGCCTCCCTCCCACTTTAACAAAATACACACAGTGTATTCCTCAAGACTATTTAACATAACAAGGATCTACTATTTACAAAACGAAGACATGAAAAAAAACAGGCACACAGGCTCTTCACACTCCTTCCTGGCACCCCGGTCTGTCTGATCCCCTCCCTCTATCACCCCCCCTGCACTCCTCCTCTCATTCGCTCTGGGGCTTGTAGCTGACTGAGGCTGCAGTCTGAGCCTGGACGTTCTGTCTCTTGCCGTTGACGATGAGGAGCAGAGGGGAGTCCACTCGTATACTGCGGAAGTCAAACGTCTACAGCAGGGCCAGGGGAGAGGAGGGAGGAGAGATTATAGATCAGAAAATCATAAATGAAGAGACCACCAAGATCTGTAATAGCGTTGGTTGATATATATATATATATATAGTTCTTTTATTTTACATTTCTTTTTTCTATGAATATGATGAAAAACAACAGTTTAAACATTTTGGCCAAGGGATCCGTGGAATAAGTTTAGATTCTGTAATACAATACAATGTAATATTATTAATCTCCAATTTATGTTCTTAAACCTGGGCAACACGGGCTTGGGAGGTTCACAGTATGAAAAATGTATGCACTCACTAACTGTAAGTCGCTCTGGATAAGAGCGTCTGCTAAATGACTAAAATGTAAAATGTAAATATTGGTATCCACAGTACTCCACGAATTATACATTTTTCAACTCAACACTTTTTGTATTCCCCCCCCCCCCCCCCCCCCCCTAAAAAAAATATAAAAACACTGTAATTTAAGCTTGAAAACTGCAACGTTTTCTCTCTGTCTCATGGCAAAATATGTAGAATTACAGGATATTAGCTTGAAAACTGCAACAGTTCCCCTCCAAAGCCAGGAGATGGGCCTTTAAAATGTTCCTTCCCAGGGCCTGAGACTTGGACCGTCAGGCCAATGCTATTTTCTATCTCACTCGAGTTGTGTTCTGATTATAAGGGGGTCCCCACAATCACATTTTGCAGACACTCATATCCAGAGAATCCTAAAAGCAGTGCATTCATCTAAAGTAGATGGAACAACTACATCACAATCATTGTAAGTAAAAAGTGTGTAAAGGTCCATGTAAGCTGCAGAGAGAGAGACACACTAACCTGGCCGTTGTGTGCTACACTGTGGCGTTTGACCTGGGGCTCTGGGATGACCACAGAGTCTCCAATCAGAACTCCCCAGCTGTCTGCTGTGTTATAGACCATGACCACGCAGCACGTTTCCTCACTGTCCACCATGCCAAACGTACTGGGAGACAGAGAGAGACACAGTATGATATCACTGTCTATCCACCATAGCAAATGTACCCCAACAAGGCAAAACATACAGTATCATAACCCTTCAGTTCAAACAACTTCAAACAAAGGGGCATGCAGATAGCAACTTACTTCCATCATCCCAAACATGCAGAAAAAGGTACATCTTACACACAGAGATCCACACACATAAAGTACACAGCAGACTCCACATTACAGATAGTAGTTTATCACTAGAGGAAGGGGAACTCACAAGGCCACGCGTCCCTCTGAGGCCAGGCTGAACACCACCTTTCCCAGGGCAGCCACCCCAGCGTTGTGGCCGTGTGTCAGGGCAGACAGGGTCCAGGGCTCCAGGCTCCCAACGCGGCCTGCGGGGGAGCGGAACTGAGGGGAGGAGCATGGCCCCAAGGCCAACGTGCTGAGGTTGGAGAGCATCGTCCGCAGCCGCCGGGCCTTCACCTTCCCCTGTATGGGTGAAAGAAAAAGAGTAGTCCACTGTTATCAGTGGAAAAGCATAGGACTCTGCTGCCACCTACTGGTGGTTTATAATTCTACCTGATACATTTTTGCATTAGTGCTTGAGTTGGCAAGAAATGTGTTTGTATGTTTTTATTAAGTTTATATCCTATACAGATCACATTAACTGCTGATAGATGTAGATTGGAGACTGATGTGCCCTGTCCAGTTTATCTATATGAATATGTGTGTGTGTGTGTGTGTGTGTGGGGGGGGGGGTTCTCCTGTTCCTACCTTGTTCTCTGTGAGTGCTGTGAGTTTCTCCAGGTATTCCAGCAGCTGCCTCTCCCGCTCTGGAGGCTCCTCCCACACAGGGTCCAGGGCCGCAGCCCGACTGTACCCCCCCAGCGCAGACCCAAACATCTCCTCATACTGAAACAGCTGGAGGGGGTAGACACAGGCATGGATCATTAGCTTCAGTTTACTTTTATATGCATTTGTCTGTGTAATGGAATTATTTAAGTCATTTACCACACGCATATTATAAGAATCCTAATAGAATATATCAACGATAATGTGTTACCGTGGCTCTATTGAAGTGCAGATCGGGGTTGGAGGTTGCTGTTGGGTCCACTTTCTCCTGAGAGAGAACAGAGGGAAGGAATTATATAGTGCTTAACAATGATTATTGCACAATAATCAAATTGACCCACTCATACTATCCTGTCAGGCTTTGTAAATACAACTGAGTTTGGTTTGTGTGTGTACTCACAGCCTGTGCATAGGCACTCAGAGCCTGCTGAGACATCTGTGGATTCTGTCTGCAGGTGAAGAACAGGGAGATGTAGGCATTCCCCAGGATGTCTGTCAATATACCCCAATAAATCATCAACTATCCACTCATATTCAGTAATAGAGGACATTTTTCTCATACCAACATTTATGTTAAGAGCTGTTCTTCTATCCTCTCCTTTGAGAACCTGAATTACATTCTAATAATTGTATTTCGTGCATTCACACAACATATGTAACTGTACGCATACTCCACCCCAGTAACCCCAGCCATGTCCCCCACACTTTAACTATCTGAACTCATAACCACTGTAAAATATGAATCTGTTATATGAAACTATCCATCATACTGACACCAGGAGGTGCCGTCGGTGATGTCCAGCTGGACAGCCTGCCTGGCCATGTCCACACTCTCCAGCACCCTCTTCCCCTGCTCATCACCGCCCCCTCCTGGCAGCTGCCTCAGCACCATGGACAGACTACGCAGAGACACCTTGTTCGTACTCTGGGACAGAGGGAGAAAAGAGATGTGATCGCGATAATATTAGGATACTATCGCCTGTTTGGTCTAACGGTTACAGCTGTTGACCCCGGCAACCATGTATGCCAGAGTCGGCATGGGTTCGAATCCGGCCCACTGCCCTTTGACTCACTCTCCCTCTATCGTCCCCATATTTACAACACTGTACTATCGCTTCAATAAAGCTTTTTTTTTTTATACGAAAGGAGTGGGACTGCCCCACTCATTAAAAATAATAATAATTGGATATTGGTTTGGGGGTAGGTCAATTTCAATGATGTAGGAATAGAGAATAAAACAGACCAGAGTAAACAAAAGAAAGGTAGAAAGAAAGAAAGAGGAAGGTGCACACAATGGGAGGTAGAGTTATGACTTGAGGATGAGATAAACAGCTGTTGTTTGTGTAGGCCTATAACTAGGGCTACAACCCGTTCTGAACGCTTTACATGCATTCTATTCTCCATCAGTAAGATTCTACTGCATACCTTGATCTCAACACAACAACAGTCCCCCAGCACCGACATCACTCTCTCCAGTTAACCTCAAGAGCTTTGTGACTTACGCTGTCTGTAAATTAAAAGCTCAGCTATGCAAATAAAACACATGATTACTGTATTATTATTGCTAACCTGCTGCAGGGCTCCGGTGAAGCAGGTCTTGGCGGTGGTCAGGTCTCCTTTCTTCCAGTACTGCTCCCCCAGTGTGTTCCAGCCCTCCACCAGTCCAGGCTCCAGCTTCACGGCCCGGGACAGGCACTCCTCGGCGGTGGTGCTAAACTCCGGAGCCACCCCCAGGGAGCGGCCCCGCAGCAGCAGGAACTCAGCACTGTGCTTATACGACTCTGGAGGAGACGAAGGGATGACAAAGAGATGATTCTCTAGTCCAGGGGTTCCCAAACTTTTTCACCCAGGCCCCCCTTCCAGCATTGGAGAACATCCTGCGCGCGCCACATCTATTTCTATGGGCACAAGCACTGTTCATTACACAAACTGTTCACATCCCTCTTGTTGGCGTAGAGAAAATTTTGCAGTTTTAAAGCTCTCTATACATTTTGCCCTGGCTAATGTGTATTCATGTGATATTTGAGTGACTTGAATATTACAATAACATCTATGGGCTAAAAAACCTAGCTGAAAAACGTTATCTGACATGGGCTAGTTGATCTGGACATTTCTGATAAGTTATAAATAGCTCTGTAGGGTATGCAATGACTGACATGACATCAGAAAAACTGATGATGCACTACCCAATTTAGAAAATGAGTTACTTTTTAGTCCCCACAGTTTGGGAACCACTGCTCTAGTCAACTGACTTGTGCTGTGTGTTTAAAGATGTAACCCCACATATTAGATACCAAATGGATGCCAAGCTAAGCTCAGCCAGCACTGTGCTTATAAACTATAACCTCGTCCCCAGGCTCAATTGCTACCGCATGGGACAGCAGGCTGGTGGACGACAACAGTGCGTATATGACTCTGGATTGGAAGAGATGGAGGGACACCATGAGCCTTAGTTATGTAAGTCATTGATGATTCAATAATGCATAAAGAGATCCCTCTCTAGTCAGGCAAGCTTTGTGAGCGCTGAATAGTGTGGTAAAAGATGTGTAGCTACACCAAATCGCCAAATGGATACAAAGCTATCATGCAAAATGTCAGTATATTATTTTTACATGTGTGGCTACCAAATCAGAACATGCCTTTCTTTTCTGTTCTGTTTTCTCACCTTCTTTCTCCTCCAGCTTCTTTAGTGTCTTCTCCATCTCCTGTGCCACATCACTCGGTTTCCTCTCTGCATCCTCCACACTGTGAGTCTCAAAGTAATGATCCCGAAAATGATACAACTCATCCACTAGTTCCTGATCCAGAAAGAGATAAATTGTTATTGATACATGTGAAGGACATTATTAGCTAGGTGCATGGCATGCAATCATGATGAGCCAGATGAGGTTACAATAATGTCATTTTGAAAAGTGTTGCTGGGCAGCAAATTCACTTGATGTTGGTTTCCTTGCACGTGCATGCATGCTCACTGGCAATGAGGGATGATGATACAGCAAGTTAGCTAGCTATGGCTGATTAATGGCTGGACGTCTCAGGCGCTAACTTAACGTTAGCTGACTAGCCAAGATGGAGAGACATTGTCAGTCCAGTCAAGCTAACGTTAGATAGTTAACTAACCGAGGAGCTCGATACATCAACATATAGAGAAAGCTGATGGCTCGTCAGATTTAGAGACAACCAACTCGGTTAGAAGATTTGCAGTACAATCAACCACAAGATTTTGGTCGATTAATATGACAGTTGACATCACTTTGTGGTCCTCTGTAGCTCAATTGGTAGAGCATGGCGCTTGTAACGCCAGGGTAGTGGGTTCGATCCCCGGGACCACCCATACGTAAAAATGTATGCACACATGACTGTAAGTCGCTTTGGATAAAGCGTCTGCTAAATGGCATATTATTATTGTTATAGTAACGAGTCTGTAGTGCTAGCTAGCAACAAAGGAAAGGTGGGATGTAACTGTCTAAATAAGACGTCCATTACAATTGTGAGGTTAAGAAAACGTATGGCAATATATTCCATGCAGTGATAATAATATAATATTTTGCGATACTTTTAAAATCTGCAAATCATCTTTGTCAGTCGCAGGATCACCATCCTTCTCCATTTCCGCCATCTTTTCCAGTGGTTGTTGCAAGAAGAATTCGAGAAGAAGAGTACATTGAAAACACGGCACCTGCTGGCCTGGAGGGGTGTGCAGTAGCTGGATAATATTAAACGATTATTTGCTAAACTATTCGTATTTACTGAAAGTAATAAACTGAAGTTCATTGTGTTTTTTTAATTTTTTTTATACCGCATATTGCTAGCTAATTAACTAACAACAAAGTTCGTATTGTTGTTTAACAGACTTAGCCGGAAGTGGCCCTTTTTAACCGGAAATGTGTCCGTTTCCAAAACACATCAGTCTTGTGCTCATTTTAACATATCGATTGCTTTAAAGTAGTCACGACCTAACATTATGTAAAAATGTTATTTGAACGAGTTCTGAGAGGTGACAACTTCTAGTTGCAATAAGAAAAGTTAGCTGATAGATTTTGGATTTGTCTGTCTTGGCGGTTCCCTCCAACAACAAGGGGGAACCATTCATTCGTTGTTGTTGCTAGTCCGACACAGTGCGAGCGGTGTCCACATTATCCCGCTAAACTAAGTGATCTTGCATGCACAGTTTTCGATTCAGTTTCGCGTTAGTGCCTATTCTAAATGTCGGATACATGGAGCAACATCCAGGCTCACAAGAAGCAGCTGGACTCGCTGCGAGAGAGACTGCAGAGGCGACGGAAAGACCCCACGCAACTCGCTCCAGGTATGTTTTTAGGCTAACGCGTTAGCTAGCTAGAGAGAGGCGGGATAGGGAACATAAGATTAGACAATAGGGATTTCAACACACACATATGTATTTGATTCTATGCTGATGGTTAAAGTTGAAAAAGTTCAACAAATGTTAATGTTTCTGTATTCTCTCTGGACACACTATATGGTCCAGATACTAACGAGTAACGTTAGCTAGTGACCAAAGCTCTTCATCTACATAAACACTGTTGTTACTGCCAATGGGATTTACAACTGGTGGTTTTCACTTCTCTCAGAGGTGGGAGGCAGCAGTGCTGAAGGGGCTGCAGCGCGGAGTGAGAGTCCAGGACCAGCTCTCCAGAGCCCCCCACAGGAGGAGGCTGAACGTCCCCCGGACCCCGAACTAGAGAAGAGACTCCTGGGTTATCTGTCTGACCTGAGCCTCTCACTGCCCACTGACTCCTTGACCATCACTGATGAGCTCAACACTGTGAGTGTGTATCCCTGTGACCAAGGTCTACTGGCTGATAAAAAATATCAGACCTGGGTTCAAATAGATGTGTATTTGAGTTGAGTATTTGTTATTTAAATACTTTTGTCTGTGTATTTGAGTATTTTCAAATACACAGCCCAGAACAAGTACTTGTATTTTAGTATTTTAATGGTTATTTGTAAAAACCAAATAGTTGACCAAATTGTATTTGAAAATATTTTCAAATTGTTATTTCAAATACTATTTTCAAATACCTGGGTTAAATGAATGGGAGTGTATTTGAGTCAGTGTATTTGAGTATTTTCAAATACTTTCCAATTGTATTTCCAAATAGGCTACATTCCAATATTCAACTACTTGTTTTTTTCAAATAAAGGTAATCTGAATACTTGTTTTAAAATGTATTGAAAAGTAATTGAAATACCTAAAATAGTATTTGAACCCAGGTCTGAAAAGTATATGTGTGTGTGCTGACCGCTATTGCTAATTTGAATGAAGACTATGGATATGAGTAATCGCTATGTCACACATAAGCCACTTTTCCCATAACTGCATCACTTTCCTTTTCCTATCCTTTCTTCACCTTCCTCTTCTATTTTCTCCTCCACAGTCTGAAGTGCCTGTCACCCATGGCTGCATCCAGAGTCTGCTGCTCAAGTTCTCTGCCCAGGAGCTCATCGAAGTCCGGCAGCCATCAGTGGCCACATCCCCCTCCTCCTCTTCCTCAACGCTCGTCATCTCCGTGGACCACACAAAACTCTGGGCCATGATTGGGGGTGGGGCCTTAGGCCAGAGGAAGAGGAAAGCAGAGGACCAAGCCCACCATAAACGTCCGCCAGGCTCCTCCCCTGCTCTCCAGAGCCCGCCCTCCCCTCCGCCCACTTCCTCCATCTCCCTGGCACCGGCATCCTCCTCCCAGCTGACCGGGCCCTCTGATTGGAAGGCTGGAGGAGGAAGGGGAGGGGCAGATAAACAGGGCAGGACCAGTAAGGGGCAGACGTCTCACCTGGACATGGAGATAGAGAGCCTCCTGAACCAGCAGTCTACCAAGGAGCAGCAGAGCAAGAAGGTACATTCACACCTTGGGAAAGAGATGGGGATACCGTGGGGGTAGTTTGAACCATATCAGTACAAACTTTATTATACTGCCCAATGTTCAATCCACTTTTCAACCACACAGTCAATGACGAAATCAAATTCCAATTGTATGTGTGTGTTTGTTTATAGATGAGCAGAGAAATCCTGGAGCTTCTGAACACCAGCACAGCTAAAGAGCAGTCCATTGTTGAGAAGTTCCGCTCACGCGGTCGTGCTCAGGTCCAGGAGTTCTGTGACCACGGGACCAAAGAGGAGTGTACGCGGTCTGGATTCACACCCCAGCCCTGCACCAAGCTGCACTTCCGGTCAGTACTGCTGCCACACACAACCATAAGAGTACACTCCCATATATATTTGTATAACCCCCTTTATCACCCCAATTTCGATCTTGTCTCATCGCTGCGACTCCCCAACGGGCTCGGGAGGCGAAGTTCGAGTCATGCGTCCTCCGAAACATGACCCGCCAAACCGCGTTTCTTAACACCCGCCCGCTAAACCCGAAAGCCAGCCACACCAATGTGTCGGAAGAAACACTGTTCAACTGACCACCTGACCACCGAGGTCAGCCTGCAGGCGCCCGGGCCGCCACAAGGAGTCGCTAGAGCGCGATGAGCCATGTAAAGCCCCCCTGGCCAACCCTCCCCTAACCCGGACAACGCTAGGCCAATTGTGCGCTGCCCTATGGGACCCCCGATCACGGCCGGTTGTGACACAGCCCGGGAACGAACCTGGGTCTGTAGTGATGCCTCTAGCACTGCAATGAAATCCTGATTTATTATTATAATAATTATTTATTTTTCGCATTTAATTCAACCCAACCCAAAATTGCCTTTTTCTTGATTTTGTTGTTGTGCTGATCACATCCCTTATCATTGGCTGTATGTCTCCATTCAATCACTTAGTCTCTTTTAATTGGCTGAAGCATCTTATCTGGTCCCACTGTATTGGCTGAGCCCTGTCTTCTCTCCCCTCTCTCAGACGCATCATCAACAAGCACACAGACGAGAGTCTTGGAGACTGCTCCTTCCTCAACACCTGTTTCCACATGGACACCTGTAAATACGTGCACTATGAGATCGACGCCCCTCCAGAGGCAGAGGGGGGCCTGATGGGGCCCCAGGCCGGGGGCATGGAGGTGGGACTACACCAGGGGGAGGAAGACAGCAACGTGGGGAAACTGTTCCCCTCTCAGGTGAGAGAGAGGAAGAGGAGGAATAGAATGAGAGGGGAGGGAGAGGGACAGGGACATGAAGGGAAAAGGGGGTGGCCTATGAAAAGGAAGGAGGGAGACTAGGTTTTTATGACACAGGCTTTTATTTTGGTACGTCTCTAAAGGTATGAATCCCCAAAGGGAGAAATTAGGTAAATGAGTCTGTCTACATAAGTTATGTCAGTTACCTCCAGAAGTGTGGAGACGTGGTTCTTAGGCAGTCTGACGCTGCGGTTCAATCCAGTCTGATCCGGTTTTGTCCCCCATCACAGTGGATCTGTTGTGACATCCGAGTCCTGGATGTGTCGATTCTGGGGAAGTTCTCTGTGGTGATGGCCGACCCTCCCTGGGACATCCACATGGAGCTGCCCTACGGAACTCTGACGGACGACGAGATGAGGAAGCTCCACATCCCCGTCCTCCAGGACGACGGCTTCCTCTTCCTCTGGGTGACTGGCAGGTACCTCCACCAATCAGATATGAGTGGAATAGTGTGTTACTACTTGACCAATCAGCTGCCAGAAGAACAGTGCATGCTAATAAGCATGCAGGGTCTGACAGGTTAATTATATGATAACAAGCCATAAACTCCGTATTTTAGTTTATGTTGATTGGTGCTTTGATTGACATCTTTCACTTTTTTCAATAGGCTGTTCAATCTTCATGCCTATCTATATTTCTTTTAGGGCTATGGAGTTGGGTAGAGAATGTCTGAGCCTTTGGGGGTAAGTCTTTATTCATCAACCTTTGGACCAATAAGGAAGTCAACTGTGTCATAATCTGACCGTTGGTCTTCCCCTTGCTTTCTCTCGTAGCTATGAGCGTGTTGACGAGATCATTTGGGTGAAGACCAACCAGTTACAGAGAATCATCCGCACCGGGAGGACTGGTCACTGGCTCAATCATGGGAAGGAGCACTGCTTGGTGAGTGTGATGTAATGTGTTGTGATATGTTGTGCGGCATCATACCTCTTATCTCATCTGACTCTGAGGGCTCTGGGCAGTTTAGTGCAGTCAGTTGTGTATATTTACTGTTATTGTGGTATAGTTGTGTGTGTACAGTTGTATTGATGTGCATGTGCTTCTCAGGTGGGCGTGAAGGGACAGCCCCAGGGATTCAACAGAGGGCTGGACTGTGATGTCATTGTGGCAGAGGTCAGGGGTCAAACAATTAATCCATTTGATGTTCCATTCCAATCCTATGAGAGAATGTTTTAACTCAACCCTGTCTGTTCTCTCTCCTGCTCTCTCTCTCATTATTGTCTGTTGTCTCTACCTCTTTCTCTCGCTTTCTTTCTTTCCTTCAGGTGCGTTCCACCAGCCACAAGCCAGATGAGATCTATGGGATGATCGAGAGACTCTCACCTGGTACCAGGAAGATTGAGCTCTTTGGCAGACCTCACAATGTCCAACCCAACTGGTATGTGTGTGTGTGGTGTGTATTCATTGAATTTGTAAATTAGGTGTGTGTCTGTATCTGGGTATTCTCTTTCTTTTTTTAAGCCTTCTCTCTCTCTCTCTCAGGGTAACTCTTGGTAATCAGTTAGATGGCATTCACCTCTTGGATCCTGATGTCGTGGCTCGCTTCAAGAAACGTTACCCAGACGGAGTCATCTCCAAACCCAAGAACATGTAGAGTAGGCATAAACGCCCTACGTAGGGTCTTCATTGTCAATTACTTGTCATGTTATGAACATGTTATGAACTTAGTCGCCGAGGGGAGAACACTGATCAATGCTCAGTGAGTGGCTGATGGACTGCCTTGTTTTTTCATGTCTTTCTTTGTACCTATTACAACATTTTGTAATAAATATGGTTAAAGGAATATTGATGTATCTCTATGATGCGCATCATATATACTGCACAATGAATCCACCAAAAACATTTCAGTGTATATATATATATATAATTTTTTATTATTATTACTTTGTTAGTACATTTTGTCCATTTCCATGACAACAACAATACAGTATACAAAGTGAGGACTGGGTAATTTGGGGATCTTGATTGTTTTTATTTTAATCAAAGTAAATGTAAATCATTGACATTTCTGGAAATGTATCAATATTTTCTTCAGTCATCAGGAATCACATACATTCTTCTCATCATTCCAAACTTACCACAATAGCTACTACGTTCTCATACAATAAAGTTCTCAATTTGTACAAAAATATATAAAACAGAATTAGAAGTGGAAAAACATAAGTATTTATTATCCTTAAACTAGTACGTGAAGCAGGAAAAATATTTCAGGTTAGAGGGTGGGTTGTAGCCAAAACAGTTGAAATGTCTTCTCAGAACAATCTCTGTTGGCTTTCTCCTCCATTCACTGATGTTCCCCATAAGATGCCATCAGAAATGAAGGTAAGAGTGGCACGTAAGCTGGAGAAGCTGCAGTTTTCACATTTCTAGATATGAATAAAGTGTAGATACATTCCAAGCACCAGTTGAAACAGGCACTAGAAGAAGAGAGCCAGCACCAAACTGAATTTAATTTAGGAAATGTTCAAAATAAGTAAAAAGGCACAGTCATTAGTCTTTATTAGCCAAACTGATCAAAATCTAGTTACCATGTTCTTCTCAGCAAGTTAGGATAGTGTCAGGATAAAAACAAAAAATCCAGTATTTAAAGTTGGGAGTGCTTAATTTTCTTGTATTCACCGGCTAGTATTTGAAAGACTTGAATTTGCAGTTGTTGTGGTCTTTTACCTGGCCCTAGACCAAACCAACCTAACTTACATCCCAACACACACATTTATTCAAAAAAAGGAAATCCCAAATCTCCAAAAAGAAAAGGAAAATAATGCACTTTGTTGGTAATGATGTAGTAAACAGTTTTCCATCTCTACTAGCCACATCAGCAGTACATTCAGTCTTTCTCTATAGTGAAGAACTCAATCTAGTGTGATATATCCATCCTTTCACAGTCACTTCTGAAGGGGGAGTTGAGAAAGAACGTTGAGTACATATGTACCACTGAGTAGATTAAGTCCCCGTCCTTTACATTATCTGTTCTGTTGAGCTATAATAATGGATGCCATAGTGGAGGGGCGAGAGCTAATTTCCGGGCGGTGGTGATGACAGGAGGGATGCGTCAGTAGATACTGAAGTCTCATTCCCAGCGCTGTGAGCCAGGGTCATATTCATTAGGGCACACCGTAGCAAAAATGTTTTGCAACGGAAAACAAAAATGAGCATTTCTTATCGGACAAGCCCAGGTAGCCCCCCCCCCCCTATTTCAGTCCCTTTTCTTCCGTTTGATGCCTAATGAACACTATCCAGACTGTCGGGGCTGCTCTATTCAGCAGGTGGCGTCCACTGCGTTGAAGTTGCTGTCCATCTGGTGTCTGAAGGAGAGGCGAGCCTTGGTGGAGAAGTAGATCTGGGAGCCGCTCAGGCTGCTGCCCCCCTCGCTACCACACGACACCGTGGACAACAGGCGAGGCTTCATCTCATCTCTGGGGACTGGAGCCATGAAGTGAGGAAAGATGGAGGAATGGAGAGGGAGAGAGGTGGGGAGTAGAGAGGAGAGAGCAGAGTTATTGAACCAGTAGCAAACAATGTTTTATCATCTTCATTCTTTTTTATGTCTACATAGTGAGGGATGATTTGATCATGCTGTTTGACATACATAAATGGTATGCGTCATCCCTCAGGTGTCTTTTTGTAACTTAAATGTGACATGATATAAACTTATCTGACATTAGAATTATCTAAATCTAATAGAGCAGGATCTTCATTACAAAGGTGTAGGTGGAATGAACAAATAATGAATGAATAAATGATTGACTGACAGTTATAATACTGTGGACAGTGGACAGTAAAAGAAGAACAGAGTGACATAAAACTCATTATTGACTTTCATAAGCGGAGCCCGGAGCAAGTCCTTCACTTTACCTAACTCTGACATACCTGGTTATATCACATCACTTGTTTCAACATGTCTTCCAAATATATGTGTTTGATAATCATAGATTATGTGTGCAGCATACTATTAGTGCACAGACAGCCCTGGGATGTTCTACTGATATAATGATACTGTATGTAATTAACTATGTAATGGCTGGGGAGTTCTGACATAATGAGAATGCTAATGTATATAATACTGTGAGTACTATATGTGGAAGGTTGTAGTTCTCTCACCTGCAGGTAGGGGGCACTGTCTGCCCTTTTCACTATGTAATGGCAGACAATGATAACGATATTGTGTGCAACTAAGTACGTAATGTCATGCATAACTCTAATATGTAATGCCCTACTATGTAATGTAACTGGCAGCCTGTAGTTCTCTCACCTGCAGGTGGGGGGCACTGTTTAGCCTTGCATCGCTCTTTACAGCGTCTGTACCAGGGGAAGCACTGGAGCACCTTCACACCCATGTCTGGAGCTGAGGGGAGATGAGGACCGCTAGAGAGAGAGAGAGAGAGAGAGAGAGAGATAGAGAGAGAGAGAGGAAAAGAGGCAGAGAGAAAATATAGAGAGAGAGAGAGATAAAGCTCGAGTAAGCTCACTATAGAAGTAGCTCTCGCTATTATTCTACGCTCGAGAGAAGATATCTCTCTCTCTCTCTCTCTCTCTCTCTCGCTCTCTCTCTCGCTCTCTGCGCGCTCTCTCTCTCTCTCCCTCTCGTTCTCTCGCTACGCTCTCTCTCTCTCTCGCTTCTTCTCGTCTCTCTCTCTCTCTCTCTCTCCTCACCTCTCTTCTCTTTCTCTCTCAACTCCCCCCTTCTGTCCTCTCTCTTTTCCTCTTTCGGGGGTTTTTCCTCTCTCTTTCTCATCTCTCTTTCTCGCCAATCTCCTCTTCCTCTCTGTCTTCCGGGGTAAATCTTTTCTCTCTCTCCGTCTCTCTTCTCTTTCTTTTCTCTCTCTTCATTTCGTCTTTTTTTCCCTTGTTTTCCCTTCTCCCTTCCAAAAACCTTCAACCCTATCCCTCTCTTTTCCTTTCTCCCTTTTTTCTTCTGGTTGCCCTTCTTTGGTTTTTTTCCATATTCTTGGTTTTCTGTTTTGTTATCTGACTTGTAGTGCCATGCTTGTACACATCCAGTTTGATCAGTGTCTCAAAATGCCAAAGCCCCTAGACGTTTGTTTGGATTGGAATGACTTCTGCTTTTATGAAATCATAAAATAACATACCAAACCACAACCGCAAATTCTTAGCCAATTGATTCATCTCATCACCGAGAGCCAAATCAGCTAGTCGATTGTTAAGGCTGTCACGAGAGACTACCAACTGTTTAACCTTGCCTTGATAACAGTTAACACAACAACTGCCCAACAAAACAAACCCACATTAATTCCCACAAAGCCTATGTGGCCACCGGCTATGAATGAACCTCTATCAACCAGACATTACTGAGATGATGAGTCTGATGGGTCTTTGTCTCATCATCACTCACAGGGTCGAACCATAATGGAATTATTCCTGTCCAGTCCACTAGGCCAGTGGAATTAATAATGAAATTGGTCCATTCTATAAGGGGACAAAGTGTTCAATGACATGACACAATGATGACTGATGAGGCTTCGCTAATCTCTGTCGTGTCGCTTGTCAGTAGACGCAGGCGAGCATTCACACACATAATCCAGTCAATGGACGTCAGTGGCAGGCAGATAGAGCAGTTGATTAAAAGCCTTGGCTTGAATTACACAGAGGTCACACAACACATACAACTCAGACAGGATAAGACAGGACCATCATACCATATAGCATTGTAGGTGCTTAGAGAGATTATATGTGCATAGAGAGATATAATGCTCATGTCATGCCAAGTCATGTCTTATAACCCTGAATTAATTGGCATTAAGATGCATTCTATGTGAAAGTCAGAGAACTTTAACTCCATGGATCTCATTCTCTCTGCATTTAGCCAAGCAGTTATAATTACGCTGAAATGATTTCATGCAATACATTATATTTGCATAGTACACAAACACACACACACACACACACCCAAACCCTACTTTGATCTGCTCCTGGCCTACAGCTCTGCTCTTTGATCTCTCTGTGTGTGTGTGTGTGTGTGTGTGTGTGTGTGTGTGTGTGTGTGTGTGTGTCTGATTAGATTAATGTTTGTTGGGTCAATGGTTCATCTATTAACTTCTAACCTCAGGTCTTGTCAGTACTCTCCCTGTGTGGCCCTTGGAGATAAGATAAATGTGGGGCCCCTCTGTCAACAGCAATGAACAAACATGTAATTGATTACAATGTTAAAGAAATCGAATAGAATGGTGGTACTCAATTGAGCCTGAAGAGCTGTCTGGTAAAAACCTTTCAGCAGAGTGTTGTGTGTATAGCTGTCTATTCATTCAGTAGATCTCAAAATAAATACCCTATTTGACTGACACTTTTATACTGCTAGTTACCCTGTGTTCCACTGAGCTAATGTTAGGAGCCACCCGAATAGAACAGAGAAATGTAATGACTCTCTGTGGAAACAATCAAATTACTTTCTATTATAAAACCTCTCAAAAGGTCTTCCATCATCACAGAGCTCCATTTAGCTCTGCTCTGTGATAACATCAAGAGAGGGTGGAGGGGCTGCTGACAAAGTGACGCTTTCCTTGCAAACCCTTGCCCACACAGAAGCCTATCACCGGACTCTGCTGTGACTGCAGACGTGCAATCTGTAGCTAAAACCCTCTGACCCGGTTATCACTTATTGTTGGTTAGGGAGTGAGTGTGTGTGTGTGTGTGCATGTGTGTGTGTGTGTGTTTTCCTGCCTGCTACAGCTTTCTCTGCACTCACAGGGATGAGGTCATTTCATAAAGATGTGATAGCTCTCTCACACTCTCTCTGAGCCCCTTTGACACTTAGGGGTCAGGCCAAAGGGGGACTCATTTCAGTGTGACACCCATTCCACCCTGTTGAGAGTCAGTCACAATGGGTGAAA